AAACTGGCGTTGCAAGTTTCTGAAAGTTAGAGCAATAAATAAATACTATGCTTTACTCACCAGCTTCACGTAATCTGTTTCCTTCTGCTCTGGTCCGGTTAGTTCTTTCACTTCCAGCAAGATCTACCAAGGACAACTGACTTATAGTGATTTGTTCTTTTTCCTAAAAAGATCACAAAGCCAATCGCAAAGCCAATAACTTAAAATGGGTTATAACTGGTTTACAATGTTCTTTAAATAGATTCATATCAACAAGCTAAGTCTTAATGAACATTTGCACAGATCAAATGCACAGGATAGGCAAAGGGTTCATATTTTAGTGAAGAGTTTGCTAAAAGAGTTTGATAAATATACTCATGACATTAATGATTACTTGTCAACTGGCTGGTCTTCCTTCTGCATCAAACAGTAAGGTCCCTGAGAGCAGGGACTCTGTCTTTTACTACCTTATCACCAGCATGCTGCGCAGTGCCTACCACTCAGTAGGAACTCCACAGATATTTGCTGAATAAGAGTCTAGAACAGGATTATCTTAAATTCTTCTATAATCAGATGTTTAATAATCTTATAACCTAATTTCATAATGCTATAAATAATTCTTTTTTGGGGGGGCAGGGGAGACAGAGTCTCGCTGTGTCTCCAGGCTGGATTGCAGTGGTGCCATCTACACTCACTGCAACCTCCCCCTCCTGGGTTCAAGCGGTTCTCTTGCCTCAGCCTTCCGAGTAACTGGGATTACAGGCATGCGCCACCATGCCCAGCTCATTTTTTTCGTATTTTTAGTAGAGACAGGGCTTCACCATGTGGACCAAGCTGGTCTCGAACACCTAACGTCAGTTATCTGCCTGCCTCAGCCTCCCAAAGTGCTTGGGATTACGGGGGTGAGCCACCATGCCCAGCAGATAATTCTTATAAAAAGAAGTGAAAGCCAAGTGGCACCTAACTGATGCTATAATATTAGATGTGATTCAATGGAAATCAGGTATATATGGAAGGCTGACTTATAATCATTTTTCTTTTTCTTTTTTTTAAGACAGAGTCTCGCTCTGTCACCCAGGCTGGAGTGTAGTGGCGTGATCTTGGCTCACTACAACATCCACCTCCCTGGTTCAAACAATTCTCCTGCCTCAGCCTCCCGAGTAGCTGGGACTACAGGCACGTGCCACCATGCTCAGCTAATTTTTGTATTTTTAGTAGGGACGGGGTTTCACCATGGTGGCTAGGATGGTCTCAATCTCCTGACCTCGTGATCTGCCTGTCTCGGCCTCCCAAAGTGCTGGGATTACAGGCGTGAGCCACTGCACCTGGCCCTTATAACTATTTTCTAGCTAACAATTATTGAGTGTTGACTATAAGCTAAACACTGGACTAAGAACTTTACACGTATTACCTCCTTTAATTCTCACAACCTTATAAGGAGGTTTTATTATAGCTAGTCAGTAAATAAATAGAAATCAGCATTCAAATCCTGGAGGTCTTCAATACCACTCCTGTCACTTATAAACCTTCAGAATGCCACAACTTCATGATACAGTTTGAATAAATTACACTTTAATGCATTACAGTTATTAGATTATGTATACTCAGACTCATATGCTGTTACTAATTGACACAAGCCTTGTAGTGTGGCAGGCCCGGCAGTAAATAGTGATCTGCATATGGGGGACCCTACTGGCCTATCAGCCAAGAGATGAACAACTTATAACACTGGCCACTTCCTAAACTATACCTACCCTGAAAAATGAATTAATGACATTTTAAAACCATTAATTGAATTTCCACTTACGGAATAAGTCACCAGAGAGAAAACAATCACAGTCTTATTTTATCACTTCTATCAAAGAGATTTTTAAAGATCTGCAAACTTTTTTCACAGCAAAATTCAGGCTCTAAGATTCAATATCCAACTTCCCAAAACTATAATAATGGGGAAAAAAAGTTTTTAATGTCATCACCTACATACAGAGTCATCCCTCGGTATCCTCAAGGGATTAGCTGTAGGCTCTCCTATGGATACTAAATTTCAGATACCAAATTCCATGGATGCTCAAGTCCCGTGTACAAAATGGCGTAGTATTTGCATATAACCTATGTGCATCCTCCCATACACTTTTTAAAATTCTATTTTTAAAATTTTTTTTAGACTTACTTATTTTTTTGCAAAGACAGAGTCTTGTTTTGTTGCCCAGGCTTGTCTCAAACTTCTGGCCTCCCAAAGTGCTGGGATTACAGGCATGAGCCACGCATGCACCCAGCCCTCCTGTATACTTTAAATCATACTTAGAGTACTTATAATATCTAATACAATGTAAACACTATGTAACACTTTGTTATACTGTATTGTTTAAGGAATAATGACCAAAAGAAGTCTGTACATGGTCAGCACAAATGCAGCATTTTATTTTTGAATATTTTCAATCTGCAGTTGGTTGAATCTATAGATGTAGAACTCACAGATCCAGAGAACCAACTGTGTATTTATTCTAGAGCAATCTTCATTGCAATAAAACCTCCCTAATTTAACTTTTTTTTTTTTCGAGACAGGGTCTCACTCTGTTGCCCAGGCTGGGGTGCAGTGGCACAATCTCAGGTCACTGCACCTCTGCCTCCCAGGTTCAAGTGATCCTCCTGCCTCAGCCACACCAGTAGCTGGGATTACAGGAGTGCATCACCATGCCTGGCTGATTTTTCCAATTTTACTAGAGACTGGCTTTCACCATGTTGGTGGGATTACTCTAATTTCAAAAATTAAGGATAGAGTTAGAACCAGAAAAACTCCACATACTACAACTTTACCTGTAAGACATTGTCTCCATCTGCATCCAAGGGAGCCTGAACTAATTTAATGTTGAACACGCTATGGGAACGGCTGGACTCACGATTCAAATGGGTATTAGCAATACGTCTCTTTTTCTGGCCTATGACAACAGAGAAATCATTGGTCAAACCTGAACTCAGTCATTTCATTACACATGCTAATAAGTCAAAAAAGATTGCCATTAAGTTTAGTAGCAACTCTAGGTAATATTTATCATTCTGTATTTTTCTATTTCTAGATGTTTCTAACCTCTCCAGAAAACTTCAAAAGCCTCCTCAGTAGATTTCACTTCAACTTCTGTACATCCTGCAACATACATGTTATGGTTCTTATCTTCACGAAGTAATTTAGATTGTGGAGGTCTATGGGAAAGAAAAAAAGATTAGTTTCCTAAATTATGAGATGCCAGTACCTTCATTTAAGACTAGGACTAAAATGCCAAGTGACATGACGTTACTCTTCTAATGAAAATTATATATATTTTATAATAAGTATATAATGTATAATACTCCAGAGAAATATTAAACTTAGATAAGATTGTAAAGCTAAATAGTCAAGATTAGTTACATAACAAGATAACAGAAACCAATTTTGTTTTAAAAGCTTTGCTCTAATTTACTCTAAGAAAGCACATGAAATAATACTTACTAAACAATTTAGAGACCAAAGTAGTATTACAGCAACAACACATGCACAGGTTAAGCATCAAAATCTAGTATTTTCCTAATTTTAAAAGACTAGCAGATAGAACCGGTTCTGACCTCCTCTGCAACAGCAGAAAACAAATTCAGAAAGAGTTTGGTATATACCAGGAGTGGCAATCCTTCCAAAGTGGCTTATGAAGTTTTAGTCTGTATGACAAGATGAAGGGGGCTACCTGTTTGCTCTTAGTTTTGTGAATGGTGAGGGTAGAGACATTTACCAGCCACCATCACTGATAGTCAATAGGAGATCTGTCAGGAAGCAAGGAGGGCTTAGAGAAAGCAGCCAGCCCAGTGACAATGGAAAATAATCTACATGCAAACATGCCATGGAATGCCAACCATAGTATAACTGCACCCTTCTCCTTAAGAAAAGAGCCAACACCATCACATACACAAAATCTGTGTTCCTCATGGGTGTGCTGCAACTGTTCCACCTACCAAAGGAATAAGGTAGAAGTTACTGTTTCTACAGCAGCCATCTCACACCAACATGTTCAGTCCAGACTACGTGACATTCACAATGAGTCATATCTTAAAAACCCTCCACTTGTAACAGTTTTTCATTGTATTAAAAACTACTAAAAGTTAACTAGCTTAAAAAAGCAGGTCTAACACCAACCTAACAAATTAAATCTGAATTCACTGCCAAACAAGCACCCTTGTATGTTCATTCAAGGAGTTACCCAAAAAGGTTACAAAGCACACAAGGTATTTTTGTCAATCTTCTTTTGTATAACTAAATAAAGCCAAGATATGATCCTTTGAAAATAATCTCATTTAGAACAAACAAAAACTTGGCACGTGGGCATACATGAAAATGGATATACTCAAGATTAGAGTCAAGACAATTGACACTTTAAAACAAATGGGAAAGTAATTAGTTTGATATCAAAAGTAATTGTCAGGCCGGGTATGGTGGCTCACACTTGTAATCCCAGCACTTCGGGAGGCCAAGGTGGGAGGACTGCTTGAGGCCAGGAGTTTGAGACCACCCTAGGCAACATAGTGAGACCTCTATCACTCCTATCTCTACAAGAAATTAGAAAATTAGCCAGGCATGGTGGCTTGTGCTTGTAGTTCCAGCTACTTAGGAGGCTAAAGTGGGAGGATCACCTGAACCCAGGAGGTTGGCTGCAGTGAGCTGATACGGCAGAGCAAGACCCTGTCTCAAAAAAAATTAAAAAGTAACTCTCTCACAAGGTCTTTACTCTCACATGTATTGCTCCACAACCTATCCCAAGTATTTTTACTATTACCAACATTCCAAGGGTAAATAAAGTTCTCACTTGAGGAAAGGTTAAATAGAGCAAAAGAGTCTTCCTTGGCATAAACTCCTAGGATTAATAATTTTACATTTAGCTTACTTAGCCATATTGTAATTGTTTTCCCAATGAATATGATGAAAATTCAAGGACTGTGGTGAAGATAACTGTATCAAAATGTGACTCACTAAGAACCACAGAAATACCTGTATCAAGTATGGCCTCAACCAGAGTCCACAAATTTTTCATGTAATTAAAAGCGGATATATGCTGGTATGTATTCTCAGTCTAATGATTTTCTAAATCCAGCTGTTTCTCCAATAATGTTCCATTAGATATACACACAGTTAAATATAAGACACAAGTCCTTGTATTATTTATGTTCTGAGAGGCCCTAATAAAGACAGCATTGAAGACAAGCCTTTGGCTTAAAAACAAAGCCATCAACACAGGAACAAGATACTAATATGAAACATAAGATTCCGGGGTCAACTCTGGCACAAATGCAGATTTATCATTTGTGATGCCAAGTGGTAACCAGTCTTACGTCTCAGAAAGGCAAGACCCAAGGAAATCTAGGAGGTAGTATTTCAACTCTGGTGGAACTACAGTGCAGATATCAGTCCATATTAACGAATGATAGAAGGTATGTAATTATTACTTGTACAGATAACAGCTTTAGGCTCCAGTCTATAGAAATCACCAAGACACAGGTGGTTAAAGAGGCTACAAAACTCCCTTTACTGTGTCAGGTTCTTGAAAGGTAGTCCCAGAACACATCAATAGGGACACTTCCTTATATAATTAAGATCCTTTTCAAAACAGCCCAGGGCCCAGAGTTTTCAAAAGTAATCTCTAAGATGAATATTTGGGTCCCTCTTCTCCTTAGATGCTTTAACCCACTAGTTCCCTAATACAGGTACATACCTAGTTAATGATAAACATACTCAAACACCAAACCATGTGATATACAAATTATATCATTTCATTCTGAAAACAAATGCAAGCATTATTCTCATTCATAACTGAAGAAACTAAAGCTCCTTGAGGCAAAGTAACTTCCCCAACATTAATAGCTAAGAAGGGTCTCTCTTCACTACTTACTTGGGTTTTATGGGATCAAACGGCACCTCTTCCAATAGATCATATATGTAATTATTATATATTTCAATATAAGAGACAAATACACCATAGACACTATCTTCATCAACCTCTTCTGCTTTGCAGAATTCTTGTACAGTTATCATATCTGCAAACTCTGGATCTACTTGTCGTCTAAAAAAAAAAAAGTTCAATTGTATACATTGTAAGTCCATTTTAAAAGTAAATGATCCCAGCCGGGCACAGTGGCTCACGGCTGTAATCCCAGCACTTTGGGAGGCCGAGGCAGGCGGATAACCTGAGATCAGGAGTTCGAAACCAGCCTCGCCAACATGGTGAAACCCCGTCTCTACGAAAAACACAAAAATTAGCCAGGCATGGTGGCGCGTGCCTGTAATCCCAGCTACTAGGGGAGCTGAGGCAGAAGGATCGCTTGAACCTGGAAGGCAGAGGTTGCAGTGAGCCGAGATCATGCCACTGCACTCCACCCTGGGCAACAGAGTGAGACTCCATCTCAAAGAAAAAAAAAAAAGTAAATGATCCCAAGGGGAAACTAACAGATACAATAAATACCTGCAATTACAAGCAGAAATACACAAAGCAACTTTATTCATACTCACAGTTTGCCAGCAGTATTCCCACGTCCTCCCAAACACACAACAAAGGCTTTTATAACCTCTCCCAACCCACAGTGGCATCTTCTTAAAACAGTGATTGAAACAAAATGTGCTCAGAGCCAAAGAGAAAACATCTGAGCAAAGAACTTAGAACATTCCTTAACTTTAATCTCACAAAAGTCAACTTCCCTATTTAATGTTCACCATTCCTCATGTCTGGGCAAACCACAGGAAAGAATCCTGTGCCCCTAAGGCCAGTGCTGCAGACAAATATAATTACTTACTTGCTAGAAGGGGTCTTTGGATTGGGCATAGCTTCTCTTTTCTGACGTTCTAATAAGGCATCAACCTCACACTGTATATCCATACTATTCCTATCATTAGATTTGAAAACCTGAAGTGGGGGCAAAAAAATCATACCACGTTTTGTAGAATTTAACTTAAATAGTAAGAAACATGCTTAAAAACTAAGGAACAGTAAAGGTTTCAAAATGAATCCAGTGCTTTGGTTCTTCTTTATACTTCTGTATCCATAGGTGTCTTAGTCCAGCAAGATAGTCACAACACAAAAGAATCATACTTACATATCGTTTAGCTTGAAATGACCCTATACTGTTAAAGATCATGTCCAAACAACGAGGAAGCAGCCCTCCTTCCCCTGGAGAACCAGTCATTGTGTGAGTTTTTCCACTTCCCGTCACGCCATATGTAAAAAGAAGACCTACAGTGTAACAAGTCACAATGAGTTGTATCTTAGAAGTTCCCCACTTACAATATTTCTTCACTGCATTAGAAAACACTAACAATTAGCCAGAGGAATCAAAAAAGGCAAGTTTAGCACCACCCTAACAAATTAAAAATGGATTCAACGCCAAACATAAATCAAATATATAAATATCAAAAAAGTTTTATCAGAAGAGGAGAAAAAGGAAAATCCAACAAAACTCCAAGAGTCATATCATACCATTTTTGCCATGAATGAGGTCATCGACCAAGGGATTAGCCACAACATCAAAGAGTTCCTTCTGGGTGGTGTGAGTGCCAAATACTTGTTTAAATGAATACTGAGTCTGTGGAGAGAGAAAAAAAATGCACTAAATGGAATTCCACTATTATCTAGGCTAAAAATACATCTACTTAAACTCAAGGTGTTTATGACATTTAAGATCTAAGCATGCAAAGAAAAAATATAAATGGTCTTTACAGTTGGAACCTTAGTTTTTTAGTTACTAAAAAGTCATGACATACCTATATTAAACCAATTATAAACTGGTAAATGTTTTCAGTCACAACTACTAAAGACAATGTAGAAAACCTTTTTTTTTTTTTTTTTTGAGATGGAGTTTCGCTTTTGTTGCCCAGGCTGGAGTGCAATGGCACGATCTCGGCTCGCTGCAACCTCCACCTCCTGGGTTCAAGCGATTCCCCTGCCTCAGCCTCCCAAGTAGCTGGAATTACAGGCACGCACCACCACACCTGGCTAATTTTTATATTTTTAGTAGGGACGCGTTTCACCACGTTAGTCAGGCTGGTGTCGACCTCCTGATCTTAGGTGATCCACCTGCCTCAGCCTTCCAAAGTGCTGGGATTATAGGCGTGAGCCACAGCAGCCAGCCAAAAATGTAGGAAAATCTTAAGTCCACTAATACTTCTAAAGTAAGGCTGATTTTGTTTTAATTAGGTGACAAAGATCAAAAGGTATTATAATGAGTCACGGTCACAGATTTGTGGAAATCTACAAGCATTATGTCACACATGACTTTACTGTTTCCTGGTTTTTCTTTATAAAGGTGTCATTTAAAATAGCATAGCATGCGCACAGTGGCTCAAACCTATAACCCCAGCACTTTGGAAGGCTGAGGCAGGAAGATCACTTGAGGCCAGGAGTTAAGAGACCAGCCTGGGTAAGCTCATCTAATAAAAAATTTTAAAAGTAAAAACAACAACAACAACAAACCCGCAAAAAACAGTGTGCTGTGGTCACACCATTGTATGCCAGCCTAGGTAACAGAATGAGACCCTGTCTCAAAAAAGAAAAACAAAACAGACAAATAAAATAAAATGGCATAGTAGCATAATACCACATTTTGATGTACTATACTTTAAAATCAGAATATTATCTCATCTCTGAGTTCTTACATGAAATACATTTTAAATAAATTGTGACCTTTAAGAAAGCAAGAACACTTCAATTATCAAGGCTCTCTAAATACGATTAATAAAATATCCTGTAAAAACAGCTTTAGAGTTCAAAAAGAACAAACAATCTTGGAACTGAAAGGATACACATAGGACAATACTGAGAAGATAGATGACCTCACAGTCCTCATGAATGACTCCCTCCCTTCAAGGTAAAGAAAACTGAGGCCCAAAGGTGAAACTTCTCTGAGCTCATGGAGTTAATTAGTATCAAAGCCATCGTCAGTGCAATGTTTTTGTTTTCTTTCTTTCTTTTTTTGAGACAGAGTCTTGCTCTGTCACCCAGGTTGGAGCGTAGTGGCGGGATCTCGGCTCACTGCAACCTCTGCCTCCTAGGTTCAAGCCATACTCCTGCCTCAGCCTCCCGAGCAGCTGGGATTACAGGCGCCTGCCACCACACTGGGTAACTTTTGTATTTTTAGTAGTGATGGGGTTTCACCACATTGGTCAAGCTGGTCTCGAACTCCTGATCTCAGGTGATCCGCCTGCCTTGGCCTCCCAAAGCACTGGGATTACACGTGTAAGCCATCATGCCGGGCCGCAATGCTCTTTTCATTATATAATGTTGCCTTCTGTCAGAAAGCAGTGATTATTTTTAATCCCCATCAAACCTTTTTATACCTACTTGATACCTTTATTTATACATACTTGAAATTTACTTAAAGAAGTAAAACTCAGTAAATCAGTGTTTAACCATATTATATCCTCAAAGACCTGCTCCTCCATAAAACTCCCCTAGACCATGCATTCTTGCTGAAGCCATATTTACTGTCTGATGAACAGAACATATAAGGTACATATTCCTTGGAAGTTTACATTATAGTAGAGGAAAGACAATAAACAGGTAAATAAATAGATTGTGGTTAAGTAATATAAAGGAGGTACACAGAGTACAGATCAGGGGAGAGGGGCTGTGGGGTGCTGTTTCTGATTGCGCAGTCTATACGACCTGAGGTGACATTTAAGCTGAAACCCAAGAATGACCCATGCTAAGGTCCAGAAAAAGTCCGGGTTAAGGCAACAGCTAACAGCCAGGATTCTGCCTTATCCAAGGAACTCAAAGGATTAGATAAATACTAAAAGATGAATGAGGGTGGAGGGTGGAGAGACAGATGGGAGGCGGATGAAGCAGGATTTTGTCTGTTTAAAGATTTTATTCCTTGAAAGGTTTTGAATAGGAAAATGATGAGATTTTATGTTTTAAAAGAACACTGTCTGCTCTGTAGAAATGGATTAGAGAAGATTTCAAGTGGAGGCAGTTGGGCTTTGGCAGTCTTGTCAATGATACCCAAAGCACACTCAGCAAACCAATGCCTGTCTGAGAACTTAAATGTTTAGAAAGTTGTTTTTTCTTTGTTTGTTTTTTGAGATGGAGTTCCACTCTTCTTGCCCAGGCTGGAGTGTAATGGTGCGATCTCGGCTCACTGCAACCTCCGCCTCCCGGGTTCAAGTGATTCTTCTGTCTCAGCCTCCAGAGTAGCTGGGATTACAGGTACGCCCCACCACGCCTGGCTAATTTCTTTGTATTTTTAGTAGAGACAGGGTTTCATCATATTGGTTAGGCTGGTCTTGAAGTCCTGACCTCAGGTGATTCACAAGCCTTGGCCTCCCAAAGTGCTGGAATTACAGACATGAGTCACTGCGCCCGGCCAAATGTTTAGAAAGTTTTACAGGCATTTGACACTGCCCAATTATCAGTATTTCAGCCCGTATTCAATAGGCTCATCTCTATGAAGAGATTATGAACTAGTTCCCTGTTGTCTAACTCACACGGGCACAGTGTACAAAAGTCCCAGCTGTGATGCATTAAAAATAAAAAAGCTACTCCTTCATTACAGTAGCACTGGTCTCAGTGGTTAATAATGGGGCTCAGACTAGGGTGGTGGCAGTGGAGATGGAAATGAAAGGACAGTTTCAAGACACATATTGGAATATAACTGATAGGAGCTATTAATGAACTAGTTATGAGGAGGGGCAAGTAAACAGTAGGTACCAGGTTTCTGGCTTGAGCAACTGGAGAGATGACAGTGCCATTCTTTGAGAAGAAAACAAGGGAGGAAGTATTTATAAAGGGAATAAGAAAAATCAAGAACTCCTTTTTGGGCATGTAAAATTTGAGATGCACATGTGACATCCAAGCAGAGATATCAAGTAAGTGGCTGAATGTTTAGAGCCAGAGAAAAGGTTTCGGCTGGAGATACAGGGAGAGCTGGAGCGGGAAACAGGGGAGTGCTGCTGACAAACAGGTTATAATGAGGATAAAGAGGTATACATCAAATTTAGCAGCAAAGAGGCCACTGGTATTCTTCTGAAGAGCAATTTCACAGGAATAGTAGGCACAAAAGAGTGAGTGATAGCTAGAAGTAGAAATGGTAGCCTGCCTGAATTAATCCTACTGCATTCCCACGGTCCGCTCATCTTTAGCACACCTAACTTTCTGTCTTATTTATATGAGAATTATTTGTTTACCATATGTCTTAAGTTATAGACTTTCTAAAGGCAAGGAGTATATCATGCTCATTTTTTTAAAATCTCCTTCCCGCCTCCGGCTATTAGCTTAGCACATTTGCTAAATGATATTTTTGAGTTGGTTCAAAATTTTACTAAAAATAAAAACACTGCCTAGGAGATTGATGCAAGCATACAATGCCTATTATTAAATGTTACTTTAATTTCCACACATGAAGTTGTATATATAAAACTGCCTAGTACAATCATGTATCATTCCACATTAAATCATCCCTAACACATTCTAAAAACCAATAATACTCAGGGTAAGAAATTATCTGCTAAAAGCAATCCTCTAACTCCAGCATACCAAAGATATGTCTGTGCATCGCAGAAGTCAAAAACACTTTAGATACAGTGGTTATAATGAAGTAAATAAGTCTTTCGAAAATGTGGGCTCACAAATGAACTTTGTTACATTTAAAACTGTAAGTTATTCAGGAAACAACATATTGAGAAAAAACAACTTGGTTCAAATCAGAATTACCTCCTTATAGTCTCCATTTCGGTTGAGTCTATAGCCCTCAGGAGTATGAAGCTGAACAGTTGTGTTATTGATCACTTCTATGCAACACTCTTGATCAGGAAAGCCCAGTGGGCGCACCCTACAGTATACCTGAAGAAGTAAGAAGGTGCTTAAAGAACAAAGTTTGATCTTTTGCCTGACTTTTCACTTAAGCTTCTCATTCATTCCTTCATTCATTCAACAAACATTTGTGGTCTCTCAATTTTAGAGCTCTGTATCTCCAAGAGCTATGAAAATTAAAATCTGCTACTTGAGATTGACAAATACAAACATATATTAGATACGAGAAGACTTTAAATACACAGAAAATTAAAATAATTTTGATAATAAAAATCAAATTGCAGTGTATTTACTACTATATTGTACACAAATAATAGTCATACTAATATCTCTAAAAGTCAACATGTCACACAGTGAGATTTTTAAAACTGTTAGAATTTCTTGGAAATCGATGTCAATTTAAAAACTTGTCAGCTTAACCCGACATTTAATATACAAAGACATTTTTATTTATTTATTTATTTATTTATTTAGAGACAGAGTTTCATCACCCAGGCTGCAGTGCAATGGTGTGATCTTGGCTCGATGCAACCTCCTGGGTTCAAGTGATTCTCCTGCCTTGGCCTCCCGAGTAGCTGGACTATAGGCGTGTGCCACCATGCCCGGCTAATTTTTTTGTGTTTTTAGTAGAGATGGGGTTTCACCATGCTGGCCAGGCTGGTCTCGAACTCCTGACCTCAGGTGATCCACCTGCCTCAGCCTCCCAAAGTGCTGGGATTACAGGCGTGAGCCACCACACCTGGCCTACAGAGACATTTTTGAAAGCAGGGGAGGGGGCTTGAGGAAAACTCACTCAGGTGTGTGCAAAGCACCTGGTTCCCCTAAGTCAGAGCCAGCGACCCACTGCAGTGGCAGCGAGGGGTAGATTTCAAATACCTCAGAGCAAAGAACGCTTTTTGTTTGCCATTTGCTGTTTTGTTTCAAAATTCTTATTCCTTTTGCCTGCTTCATTTTTCTTTCATAATTTAACATTTGCTTTTAAAAGCAAGTTCCCAAGCCAGAAACTAGTGAAGTACTTGAATTAGGAGTAGATATTAGACTGAATTAAACTCGATCCCAAGAAGTTTGGAACTCTCCTTCATGCCGTCAGTTACTGTATGGCATGAACTGGGTTCATATGAACTCACTTCATATTCTCTGGGATGAATATGAACCCAGTTGGAGATTTTTAATTATCTAACTCGCCAAATTATAATTACAGAAGGTATGCAGTTGACAACCAAAGACTTCATTTTACTGGACTAATTAATCTTACAGAGAAAATTTCACAGCTAGAACTAGTTTTACAGAATTTAGTACATCCATTTAACTAATTGTTCTTTGATTATATTTCCACATGTCTTCTTCCTTCCCTTCCAAGCACACACATAAGACAGAAAGGATTGAAGAGATAAGTTTCTTAAACACACACACATAAATTCACAGGAAGACCTTACCCCAACTGGGTCTTTAAGGTTCGTTTGGGACCCTTTTTTCACGATAGGCTTCCGGGGTGTCTTAGCTCTCCTGGTCATAGATTCAAACAATAACAGTAACTTTTTTTTCAGTTCAACACTAATACAAAAGCCTCACCTAAAACTTACACAATCTTTCTAGGTTATCTGTAAATTATCCGTTAGCAGTTCCAAAACACTGCATCCCAAATAACATGAATAATAATCATAGTAGCAGAGTGTTTATGGCATGCGTAATCCGAAAGTAATTAAAATTTGCTTTAGAACACATTTTTGGTACCAAATGTACCTACTTATTCTCTGATTAGTTCTATACTTAAAATAGCTTGCATATTTTCTTGAGCAACAATTTAACAGAGGCACTACAAATTTGAAAAATCTACAAATAACTGCCCACACTTTACAGACTGACAACCGATTAACTTCAATACACTATAAAAATGCACACGGAGGAATCCATTCTTTCGACAAGATTTATGCCTGTACTTTCAAGGAACAACCAGTCATTGAATGCTCAAAACGATTACTCTTTGTCTCCAAAAAAATCCGGTCCCAAACTGCCAATTTCTTGGTTTCTTAAGTAGGGGCAATCAAAAAGTTATTTTGATTGATTTCACCGTTTCTCTAGCATCTCATCTTTTTCCCTTCACATTTACCTATAGGCTAGATATACATTTAACATATTAAAATTAAGTGAGACTATTGGCTTTGACTGTAATTTAAAAATATTTTTCAAAACATATTCTCAGATGAAACACAAGCAGATTCGTGTTGTTCAGTGCAAACACATTGTGGTGGGCTTAACTTAAACTCAACGTATATTTCTTATATATAAATTTTTTTCATCTAAAGATTTTGACTTCGGCCTCTTAATAAACAAGTGGCCTTTTGCAAACAACTCCCTAAATGGTAATAAAGCCAGTCCTCTCCTTTGCACGACAAATACTTCTTTACCCAGGAACGATGCTGCGCCGAAAATATTGGCTTTGGAATGTGGGCGGGGGTTCTCTGCGGCCACAAAATACAGCAGAAGTAACTGGCCTGTGTTAAGCGGATGGACTCGGCCTCAAGGACAGGGTGCTGGGCTAAAAAAAAAGCTCGCGGCGATCACCGGTGCCAGGACTCTCCAGAAACGGAGCCCACCTGACCATTGCCCAGCACACTCGCTCGGCTCCACACGCGAGACCACCCCCGATCCGCACTCAGTCGGCCAACTGCGCTCTGGAGGCGGCGGCGGCAGCCAGCGAGGGAGAAGGGGAACTTGAGAAGGGGAAGGCTGTCCCAGGGACCCGAGGAGGATAGCCCCGCTATCGGGAACCGGGTGCCGCATAAAACACCCCCGGCTTCAAGCCGACGCTTCCTGGCCTCTGGAGGCCCAGTCGGGGCGGCTGGGGGCGACGCGGCAGGGGGCTCCGCGCCCAGGCTCCCGCGGAGCGGCCACACGTGAAGGTTCCCACTTTGGGGTCGCGGCCGCAGCAGCACCGAGCGGGACGCCGTCCGCGCTGCCCGCATCCGGCCGCGGCCTGCGTGGAGACGCCTGCCCAAGCCCTGCGGCCCCGACCCCCGTCCGCCCTCCCTCCCTGCTCGGTGGCCTCGTACTCACGCTGACTTCATGGCAACAGGCTCCACGCTGCCCAAACGCGCGCGCGAAACGGCGGGCTGGCGAAGACTGCCGGACGTTAGGACCGGCAGCAGGAACTGGGACCCCGCGGCTAAAGTGCGGTGCTCGGAGAAGCCGGCGGCGACGCTAAAAGCCCAGGTGAGCTCCCGCCTGGCGCATTTCAAACGGGCCAATCAGCGCCCGTCCGCAGGGAGCGGCAGGACCTCCGCGGAAGTGACTGCGCTACCGGAAGTGGCGTTTGTCTCCTAGGCGACCGACGCTGAAAGGGCTGCGGAGTTGTGTGTCAGGGCTGGAGGGCGATCTTGAGGTATGGTATTTAAACTCTTCCGCCTTGCGATGAGGAAATTGAGGGTTTCTTTTCCTCCATCACAAGAAGTTCAATGGAGGGGCCTTTCCAGGGTTGATTCAGAGGTCGGAATGTCGTTCTGGTGAAAAGTGTTGTATTCCTGTGCTGTGCCCTGCTCCGAGTCTCAGGCTCCCTCTCTCTGCCTTCCAAGTCACCACTTTATCTTGGCTTCTTTTCTCTCTCTGATTCAACTTTCCTGGGTTTCCCTCCAGCTCTGTCCTATATGTACATTATTTTATCAAATCTTTTTTTTTCCTTTTTTATTTTTTGAGATGGAGTTGCCCTGTCGCCCAGGCTGGACTGCAGTCTTCAGCTCACCTCAGCAACCTTCGCCTCCCAGGTTCAAGCATTTCTCCTGCCTCAGCCTCCCAAGTAGCTGGGATTACAGGCGCGCACCACCACGCCCAGCTAATTTTTGTATTTTTAGTAGAGATGAGGTTTCATCATATTGGCCAGGGTGGTCTGGAACTCCTGACTTCAGGTGATCCGCCTACCTTGGCCTCCCAAAGTGCTGGGATTACAGGCGTGAGCCACCGCGCCCGGCCTATTTTATCAAATCTTGATTGTGTTTGATCCTGGCCTTACGGAGATGAATAAAATTTGGTCCTTACCCTTGAAGGGTTGCCCTTTAGAACCTACTCTCTTGCCTTAGATGAACTGATTCTGTATCACTTCAGTCTTTGACCCTAAGCTGATGACTGTCAAATACACATCTACACCTGGGCTCTCATTGAATTCTAGCCCCTTATCAACTTCCTAAAGGACCACAGCACTGGTAAGGATAGTCACAATTTAATATCCTTGGCCCATATCGTTGGTGCTCAGGAAGCAACACCCCAAAGTTTGACTCTTTGGCACACTGAGTGCTTTGAACTAAAGAAGATTGAAAGTGCCTCAGAGAAGCCTTAAAAGCAAAGTCTCTCTCTGACTTTCTCCTGCCTTCTTGTCTCCCACCCCTCCGTGTCTCCTAAAGCAAATAATAGAAATCAGAATTTCTGTTCCCCAAAGCGGGTCATGGAAACTAGAACCCCTCTTCACCCAAGCAAGCCAGAAACATTATTCTAGAAAAACCTAGAAATATTAATCTAGACTTCCCCCACCTTTTTGTGTAAGAGCTGGCCATAAAGAAATTCTTTGATGTATCTTGTCATAAGACCCTGCTTCCAAAAGGGTCTTGCCCTACATTCAAGAAGAAGGAAAGCTACACAGAGAGGCCAACAAGAATCTGAACAGACAGGACTTGCTGGGTTCCTCCTTCAGTCTGTTACCATTAGATCATACTCCTTTTGTCCAATCACATTTCTACACAGCTGTCCTTTCTTCATCTCATGTAAGCATAAAAATGGACAGCTTTCCCTGGGTCTTTGGGTCTTCATTTCTGAAGGCACTTACACCACATAAAACTGTGATTCAATAAATTAGTTACCCATTTATCTTGTTAACCTGTCTTTTGTTATGGTAATGTCAGCTGTGACCCTTAAGATGGGTAAAGAAAAGTATCATACCTTTTCCACCCCTACATTGCACATTAGGATGGTTCCAATTTTTGCTATTACAGATACAGCTATAGTGAATAAACTTGGAAATTTATACAATGCAGGTAAATATGTAGGACACATTTCTAGAAACAATTGCTGAGTCAAAGTATACACATGTGTAACATTTCACAGATATTGCAAATTGTTCTCCATAAGCTGTCCAAATGTACACTCCCACCAGCCTGTATGAGAGTGCCTATTTCTCCACAATTCTCAAAGTGTTATCAAACTTTTTAGTAGATATCAATCTATTGATATCTGTTATCAACTGGTGAGAAAAAACATGTAGTTAAATTTTTCATTTATTTTCAGATAAATGATGTTGTCTGTTCATATATTTAAGAGCCCTTTTGATTCCTTCTCTATGAACTGTGTTCATATTCTTTGCCTCTTTGTTCTATTGGTTGTTAGTTTTTCTTAATGAGTTGTGAAAGTTCTTATATTAAAAAAAAAATTGGTCCTCATCCAAAATACGAGTTTAAATATTTTTATTGTTCACATTTAGGTTATTTTTATTTGTATATGTTTTGTGACAGCTTAGAAAAAATTTCAGGTAGACAGATTTGTCTGTCTTTTATGGCTTCTGTTTTGTGTCATACTAGAAAAATACATCCATTCTGAGTTTTTTATTTTATTTCCCATTTTTTGTTTCCTAGTGCTTTCATTGCTTTGCTTCTTATGTGGAAGTCTTTGAATCATTAGGATTTTGTTGTCAAGCTAGAGTTTATTTTGTTTGTTTTGTTTTGTTTTTTGAGACGGAGTCTCTGTCACCCAGCCTGGAGCGTTATTTTGTTTGTTTGTTTTGTTTTGTTTTTTGAGACGGAGTCTCTGTCACCCAGCCTGGAGCGTTATTTTGTTTGTTTGTTTTGTTTTGTTTTTTGAGACGGAGTCTCTGTCACCCAGCCTGGAGTGCAGTGGCGAGATCTCGGCTCACTGCAACTTCTGCCTCTGGGGTTCAAGCGATTCTCCTGCCTCGGCCTCCCGAGTAGCTGGGACTACAGGCGTGTGCCACCATGCCCGGCTAATTTTTTTGTGTTTTTAGTAGAGATGGGGTTTCACCATGCTGGCCAGGCTGGTCTCGAGCTCGTGACCTGAAGTGATCCACCTGCCTCGGCCTCCCAAAGTGCTGGGATTACAGGCCTGAGCCACCGCGCCTGGCCTAGAGTTTGGAATGTTTATCATTTCGGAATTGGGCTTGGTTGCTGACTACTTATCTCCTAGTTACTCTTCAGTTTAGCTTCTACCTCAGACTCTCCATTGGACCTTTTGTTACCAAAATTACCACTTCCTCGATGCTAAATCTAATTGACCATTGTCTGTCTTGACTTCTTAACAACACTAAAAAATGTTGCCCATTCCTTTCTTATCATGCCTTTATTTTTTCTCCTAGCTGTCTAGCCCTTCTTTCTCAGTCTCCTTTGTGAGTTCTTTTTTTCTCCCTTAAATGTTGTGGTTCAGGGTTTAGAGCTGGTCACTAGGTGTACCTTCTCCCTAGGCACTCTCAAGCACTCATATGGCTTCACATACCATTCATGTTTGCTCTTCTGAGCTCCAGAGCCATATATCCAACTGTCTTCTGGATTCTCCACTTTGATATCCCACAAGCATCTCACATTCTAATCTCATCTCACATCCTAACACATTCTAATCTCTTCTCCCAAACTTGCTCCCTCTCAGTGGATGGCATCTGCCAAGCCAGAGTCTAAGGCACCATTTTTGGCTTTTCTGTCTTCTTCTGTCTCAATATTCAATCACTAAATCTTAACAGTTCTACATACTAAGTAGCCAAACCTCCAAACCGCTCCACTTTTCTCCATCTCCTTGGCCACCATCATCTCTTGTCTAATGAAGACAGCAGTGTCCTAACAGGCCTCTCTGCTGCCACCTTCCAATCCAGTTTCCATTTTGCTCACCTCTAAATCACGAATCTGATTATGTCACACACCTGTATGAAACTCTGCAGTGCTTCCCCATTGTTGGAGACCCACCACAGGGCCCTGAGGCACTTCCTCTGGGGCCCATCACCCATCACTGCCCTGTCCCTTCCAGTCGTGTTGAATTGCAGTGCCCTGAACACGCTGGGCTCACATGCCATTGTCTGTGCTAACACGCTCTTCTCCCTCCTTTCCTCTGACAATGCCTTGCCTTCAGTTCTCTGCAGATCTGCCAGCTACCCTGCTGTGGATACTGGGTCCTGTGGTACAGCCCCTATGCCCCCCAAAACTGCCCTTTCCCACTCACTGCACCTGTTGACTTGTTTCAGCACTCACATTCCAATTGGCAGTCACTGTTCATTCCTGTCTCCTCTACTGGCTTATCCCCACAGCCTCACTAGATGGCATTGTTGCATGCCCAGTGCCTCGCAGTGCAGGTGTCCCATACATGGCTTGAAAGGGATGAATGAATCATCCCTTCAAAGAACACTCCAGTTGAGGACCCAGTTACACCGTACCACCTCCAGCTTCTCTTCAGGTCAGTTTCTTCTTCCTCCCTCACTTCTGTATTAAAGCTCTCTGGCTTATTAATTTCCTTAAAACTACCAAATAATTACATCATTTCTCTATTCAAAAATAGCAAAGGGCTCCCTGTAGCCATTAAAAGATTTGCATTTTACCACAGAATTAGAGATCCAGAGCAGGAGTGAGGGTAGGAGGGCGGGGAGAGGAGAACTGAGGGGCTTTTTTCTTTCTAAAGTCAAGTATTTTAGGTATAATTTACATACAGTAAAACGGACCCTTTTTAGTTGTGTTGTTCTATGTATTTGACAAATATATAGTATGCTGTAACCACATCAAATGTATATTTCCATCACAGTGGAAAATTCTCTGTGCTGCCCCTACTCCTAGGCCTTGGCAGCCACTTTTCTGATTTTCTTCCCTATACTTTTGCCTTTTCCAGCATGTCTTGTCTTTCACTCAGCATAATGCTTTGATATTCAACAACATGTTGCATGTACCAGTAATTTGTTCCCTTTCTGTTGCTGAGTCTTTTCCACTGTGTGAATGCAGGACAATTTATTCATTCACCAGTTGGACATTTAGACTGTTTCTACTTTCTGGAGATTATGAAACTGGTATAATTATTTGTGTAAAAGTCTTTATGTAGGTGTGTTTGTATTTGTCTTAGGTGGGATTGTGAGTCTTATGGTAAGTTTAACTTTATTAGAAACTATTAAATTGGACCAGGAGAGTCTTATCCAAATCATTGAAGAGGGGCTGACACTACACAAATTTGAAACCATGTGTTAATCCAAACACCCAGATAAGCAAGTCCAGCTGTGGGAACCCAGTAAACACCAATGACCAGAAACTGCTGAAGCCCAGAGTGTT